GTCGACGCGATCGTGCAGAACGAGATCTTCACCAAGTGCTTTCTCGGTCTGTTGCGCCACAAGACGATCCTCCTGGTCACCCATTCCCCCGAGATCATCGAATCCAAGTGCATCGACCGCACGATTGAAGTCAAGAACGGACAGTTGATTCAAACAAAGGTGGAGAACCAACGCTCTTCAAGTGCTCCACTTGTCCCTCCTTTGCGCGTGCGGGTGGGTTACGCCCCAGACGCGAAATCCCCCGACAGTGGCCACCAAGGCGAGTACCGTTCGTATGCTTCATCAAACTGGGACAGCGCTCTGCTGACCCCGTCGACGTCGTCGCCGTATCCGTCGGCCCTGTCCGGCATGCCGTTCACCCCCTTTGACGAATCCAGCTTCGACGACAACCAGGCGGTCGACTCTGGCCGCCTCGTGCTGGATGAAGGGCGGTCGCATGGGCGTGTGTCTGCCAAGGTGTTTTCGTCCTACTTGCAAGCGATTGGGGGGTGGCCCATGTTTGTGTTTTGGGTGATGGTGCTAGCGATTTGGCAAAGTCTGTCGATTGCGGGCGACTTGTGGCTGAGTCACTGGAGCGCTGCAGTTCAATTGAGCCCGTCTGCGGCGGCCGACGCCACAGACTTGAAGGGCGCCAGCTACTACCTGTCCATTTACGCGGGACTGGCGCTCGGCAGCGTTCTCATGACGATGGTGCGGACGCTGTCAATCTTTTCGTCGGGGGTGGCGGCATCACGTCGGCTCTTTGACAACATGACGTCCGCGCTCCTTCGCGCGCCGATGCGCTTCTTCGACACAAACCCGATCGGGCGCATCCTGAATCGGTACTCGAATGACATGAACACAGTCGACAGCAACATTCCGTTCAGCGTGAGTGCGTCGCTGGCGGTCGCATTCATGGCGCTGTTTTCATTTGGGACAACGATCGTCGTGCTGCAGTGGATTGGGCTCGCTTTGCTGCCGCTGATCTACTTGTACGTTGTCATCGGTGGGTTCTACGTCGAACCGGCGCGCGAAATGGAGCGCGTGAACAAGACGACCAAGTCGCCGCTGCTCAATTTGATCTCGGAATCGATCGAAGGCGCCGTCGTGATCCGCGCGTTCGGCCAAAAGCAAGTGCGCCGCTTCCAGCGCATGCATTTTGGCAATGTCGACCACAACAACGAAGCATCGTTCGCGTCCCAAGTGATCTCGCAATGGTTTGCCATGCGAATCCAGCTCCTTAGTGCCACACTGCTCTTGTGCATCTCGACTGCCTTGATCTTCATGCGCGCGTACGTGAATCCGGGCCTGATTGGGCTTGTCTTGAACTATTCGTTCACGGTGCTGCCCTCGTTCCAACGACTTGTGGCCAACTGGGGCCAACTCGAGACGGCCATGGTCGGGCCAGAGCGGCTGGCGGATTACGCCAACATCGAGCCGGAAGCACCCCGCGTGATCTGTGGCGCCGTCGCCAAGGACTGGCCCACGACCGGCGACGTCGAGTTTGACAGCATGAGCTTCCGCTACAAGCCGAACGACCCGATGGTGCTCAAGGACGTGAGCGTCCACATCACGTCGGGTGAAAAGATCGGGATCGTCGGTCGCACGGGCGCCGGCAAGTCGAGCTTGACCATGGCCCTCTTCCGCATCAACGAACTGGCAGGCGGTACCATCAAGATCGACGGCGTCGACATTTCACGCGTCGGCGTCAAGACGTTGCGCAGCAGCATCGCGATCATTCCCCAAGTCCCCGTGCTGTTCAAGGGGACGCTGCGCAACTACCTGGATCCGTTCGGCGAGTACTCGGACGGCGACTTGTGGGGGTGTTTGCAAAAGGTGCGTCTGGCGGACCGCATCGCGGGCGTCGACGGCAAGCTCGACAGTCCCGTGGAAGAGAACGGCGAGAACTTTAGCGTGGGCGAGCGGCAGATGCTGTGTATGGCGCGGGCGCTGCTGCGACAGGCGCGCATCGTCGTCATGGACGAAGCCACGGCCGCCATCGACCACGAGATGGACCAGAACCTGCAGCGCGTGATCCGCACCGAGTTTGCGTCGTCGACGGTGCTCACGATCGCGCATCGTCTCGACACGGTCTTGGACGCGGACCGCATCCTCGTGTTTGACCAGGGGCGGTTGGTGCAGTGCGACTCGCCGGCCGTGTTGGTCGGGGCGGGCGCCGGCATCTTCTTTGAGTTGTGCCAAGAGGGCGGGTACTTGGACAAAGTCGTCGTCGGCACTGAAAATCTGTAATGACACCAAGGCGCTCTCAAAATCGACCACTGAGATGGAAGAAGCGCCTATTTCATGCAGATTTGCTTTTTCACAACAGGCCGAATCGTGCCAGATGAAGAGTGCGATATGGCGAAGGCGACGTTCACGTCAAGCAAGGCGGTAGGAATACGATGTCGTCGACGGGGAGGATGTGGGTGGCTTGCTCGATAAGTTTATGTGGTGTGGGAAAGGTCCAGTCAGTGAAGTAGTCACAAGAGCTGTGTTGAAGCAGCCATAGTTTGGGAACGACAGACGTGTATGGCCAGCTACATGGCCGCGCGCACGGCGCCGACACTTCGAGTTGGTGCAGCCATTACAAGAAGATTGCATTAATGATTGCCTGCTGCACCGGCGAAGCAAGCCACATCCGAGTTGGGTTAGTTGGATTTACCAGCAGATTCACGCAGACCTTCGATCTCCAACGCGCGAGCGTACGGCATGCGTCGACGCGAGTGTTCGACCGTCAGTTTGGTCGAGTGCCGCGGCAGGGCCAGTGGCGACATGTCTGGGCTGAGGTGCATGCTGGTTGGGGACATCCGAGCGTTGGCGGCATTCCGTCGCTCCGTTTGTAGCTCCATCTACCGTCCGTCAGCCACCTTTGCGTGAGAAAATGTCAACCTCCAACTGTGCCAAACGTGAGTTCTGGCTTTCGATCCGTTGCACGAGGTGGGCGTGCACGGCGTCGGCATCGAGTCGCGTCCTCGTTTCTTTGTCGAGTGCCGCCTCGAGTTGCTGCACGTGGTGGCGTTGCTGGTCGCGTTGTTGAGTCAGTGCCACCAGTGCCGCGTTCGAATCCTTGAGCGCAGCCTGCAACTTGGCATCGTGGACCTTGGCCGCGACCTCCATCTCGTGCTTGTGCTTGTCGGCGATCTCACGCATCGCCCGCTGCAGTTGAACAGTCGTGGTAAGACATCGACTTTCGTGCTCCTTGATGAGTTTGATCTGGTGCTTGAGCGAAGCGACGGACCCCGTTAACGTCCGCATCTATAGCGTGCAACTCGTTTGTTGAGTGGCGGATGACGACCCTGCTTTGCCGACGGGCGTACCTGCTCTTGGAGATGGCGGTTCTTGGACTGGAGGTCGCAGTACGACGTGCACATGGTCACTGTTGGCTTCAACCCGCCGATCTTTTCACTGGATGTCGCGCCGCGCTGCGCGACGATATGGTTGGCATCCATGCGCCAATGCATCCACTTGCCCCACCTACGCCCTCCACGTATCAGCCATGCCCACAACAAGATGGAAAGCCATCGTACAGGCCGCATGTTGGCACGTAATGGACGATGGCATTTTTGTTGCAAAAGAAGCATTTCCCGTGTTTGAAGGACGGTAGAACCGATACGATGGTGTTGGAGGCGTGTGTGTCGTCGGTCTCGCCGCCTGCAAGCGTCAGAGTGTCCATGCCGTCGGATAGGAGCTTGTCTTGGCATGTCTGGCGTTCCGCGAGAACGTGCGGGTCGAATCCAGCTTGGTACTCGGAAACGATCTTGTCCAGAAGGGGAAAGTCCTGTGTGAGTCCGTCCTGGAGCTGCGGATACAAAAAGCACGTGCGATGGAGAAATGCGACGAGCTACATTGGACAAGGCGTGGCGTGAACGACAGCCACCCATTTCTTGAATCCACCATAGCCACTCCATGTCGTACCTGATGCCACGCCTGCAGGAACGTCGAGAAGACGCCAAACGTCAAGATTGCCGACGCTACCAACAGCGTATACCCGACACTGTGGGCAGAAAAAATGATCCATTGCGACGACAGCACGAGCGACATGAGCCACAGCACAACTACAAAAGGTAAACCACATGATGCCACCGTCGGGTCGTAAAGGCCACACTAAACCCATAATTGGGGTCATGGCTGCGATAGAACGTTTGAATCAGCACGCACGCACCTGCTCCAACCAGCGGCACGACCATGAGCAGCGTCAGCTACATGCAGCAGCAATCAAACGATTGATGGGGCGACCCGCGGGGATGTCGCCGACATACCCGGCGCGTTATGACGAGGAGAAAGACGGTGACGCCCGCGATGTGACTAAACCAAGCCCATCCTGTTTCTTCGTCGACAAATTTAAACGTTTCCGGGAATGAAGCAAAGCTGCCAAGCGTGAAAACGCCCCAGAGCAGCACGCCCAGGAACAGCGTCGTGCCACTCACGTCCGGCGGCTGTCTTGCTGTGCTAGTTGAGGCCAACGAGGACGACGTTGCCGGGGTGGGGTTGAGTGTTCGCGACACCTGCAAACATGGCAGATCACGACAAGTTTGAAAAGAGTACATGGAGACGTACAGCGAGGGAGATGCGTTCCGTCGAGAGTCGCTGACGTAGGATGAAGCGTTCGCGTGAGCTGTACTCGGAGTAGTATGAGATGGTATTGAAAATCCAAATCACGGGAGCGCAGTACAGAAACGACAGGACGACTTCGACCTAATGTGCGCGTGAAAAGTTGAGATTGATGCAACAAAAGAGAAAGGTGCAAACCTTGTTTGGCGGTGGACGACAGAACACCGCAATCGCAAAGTAGATGACGACTGTGATCGCGCTGCCCAGCATCGAATGGACAAATCCTAGAGGCGTCACCTTTGGTATCGTGTAGAAGGATAGCCCAAAGACGACGAATAGAGCGTCCCATTGATGGAGCACGGTGTGTTGTAATGTGAAAAGGAGCAGTGTTGGGATGCCATGGCAAAGCGCGAGCGCGAACATGAGTTTCTCGTCGGCGCAAACGAGGTCCTGGAGTCGGACGAGACGTGACCATCGAACGACTCGTATGTGCACGTACCCATTTCACAAGAAAGTACGTAGAGCATTGCATGACGATGAGAAATAGTCGCGCAGGAAGTGTGACCTGAAGATGAGACGAATCGTGCTCGAGGCTATCGCCCCACGCAAACACGACATGGCTGATTGCAGCGGGAATGAGCGACCGTAGCCACAGTGTCTTCTTGCGGGTATGGCTGAAGGCTTGAAAGGACGCTTCCAGATTCACATCTTCGAACTGGAGAGTGTACTTGTTCACGCAAACCGTCGTGTGCTCCATCGCGACGCCGCGGCGATGAAGTTTGACTTGGTTCTGTTGGCGTCGTGCAGGTGATCATCCATCCGGATAATCTATTGCACCCATCCGTAAACACTGGCTGGCGACTCGGTCGTTGATTCGTGGTAATTTTAACCAATCAGATATTTTAGGAAGGGCAGGAAGCCACACTACAGTATAATTCGAGCTAACGTAGTGCAAGTTTAGCAGAAACGACGTAACTTGGGATGCATTTATACATCAATTTCAACTTTGAATCGATGTTTTTCCGAAAAGAAGCCCGAATGGCGAGAGGCTCGTACAAGCCCAACACAAGCTACGGTTCGAATTGCCGATGGGTGCAGGAATAATCGATTAATTACCTTAAACCAAGTGGTCGCTTGGGTCCCTTGTATGGACGTTTTAGGGTTCAGGTACATATTGGCGCACACAAGAGTATCTTGATGTTTGTTCGTCGTTAATCATCCGTACAAAATAGCCGACGTATCCGGACTTCTAGGAGATTTTACCGTTTTGCCAAGAGGAAAAACGCAGTCCAGATTGGTTTAACGTCATACGTGCAAGGTTTTAGCCATGGCGTTTAACAATAAAACGTCGACACTTCAGAATGCTCGTTGTTGGCATTGGTCCCATGCACCATTTCATCACTGCTTTTTTGATTTTTCGTTCAAAATATGATACCTACTTGTAGGTCAAAAACATGCACAGAATTGTGATTATTTTAGTATATTGACAGTGGATTTTGCCCCATCATTACGATTCGATTAGGATTTTCATTAGGGTATGGTGCACGTCATCAAAAACCTTCCATCTGGCCAAACTGGGAGGTGAAAATATTTTTATCAGTGTTACTAAAGTTTAAATTCTTGAGAAAATATTTTAAAATGTCCGCACTGTCAATGTCATATATGCTAAGGACGTATCGATGAAATAAGCGTAGCGACGGAAAAACTTACGAATGGCGTCAGCAAACTTGAGGCCGTCAGGTACATAAACCTGCAGTCCATTGCTTGCATATGTGGGGCCAATTTCATGTATTTTCCAACAGTCATGGAAAACGACAACGTCTCTTTGTCCAATATTAGTTTGCGGCGCTGTGGGTGAAACTTGCATTATTGGTTTAGGTTTGACTAGTGTAGACACCATCTTCTGTTGGTTGTGGTCGGGCGGCGTTCGTGTGGCTTGATCGTTGTCCCATGGGCGTGTTGCATCTTCGTTCTAACAACAAATTTCCGGATAAATGCATTTTCTGCCCGATTATGGTCAATAAAAACGTTAACTTTGACACTCGGTCGCACCTGTGAACAAATTCCCAGCTACCAGCGAATACATACAGTCTGAAAAGATATTACAGACTCACCCCAAAATTTTCACCTTATCAAGTAACTGTAAGGAAAGGGGTTACAGCCGATACGTAGTCCCGGCGGTCATGTACTCAATCAGCAGGGTACAAAGTGATTTGGGATGAAGCCATGTCAGTAAAGAGAAAATGCCATCGTCAAAATTTGGTCTGAAATGAAATTATAGACGAACTTCGTTATAATGGCAATATATCAATGGAACGGCCCCGGTAAAGGATTGTTTGGGCCATTCTCGTAAGATACCCTCAGCTAACTCGGCCAAGTATGATTGATCGATCTCAGCCCAAGACTTGAGAGCTTGTACCTTCAATCAGCCTTTGTTTCGAACTGACGACCATTGGCTTAGACATTTCGGGGTAGAACGCACCAAACATGATTGGGCTCAAATCGGGACTTTTCACAGACCATTGCACAGTTGGCCATGGCATTGTCTTGTTGGAACGTAGGGGTGGCTGGCTGGGAAAGGACCGCCAATTCACGCATGGCAGACAACAAGTATGTTTGCAGTGTTTCTTGATACTTCACAGAGTCTTGCCGACCGTCTGGGATGGCTAACTCCATCTTGTTGTAGAAGCATACCCTTCCCTAAACCATAACAGAACCGCCACCACCTCCACGCTTGGAGAAGGTTTGTTCGTCATACCGGAGGTCATGCCAGTAGTACTGACAACAGTCTGGACCGTCTAGGTTGAACCTCTTGTCAGTAAATATAATCGCTTTCAATTCCGCGGCCTTGTGGAGGTGTCCACTGGCAAAGTTGACTCGGTCTTTTTTGTGCTAGGGTGTTAGGCGCGATCCGGATCGGCGTTTCATGCACTTTGCGAATTTGGACGCACGAAACACACTAAGGACAGTAGTTTGACTTATTTTACCGCCTAGTGCTGTAGAAATTTGCCTTGACGTCCATTGCTTGTGTGTAGCAAGCCTGAAAATGCGTCGGATCTCGCGACTGGTGAGGATACAACGTCTTCCTGGGCTTTTCTTGCGACTTGGTTCTGAAGAATCGTTCGCACAAGCTTGCCGCTTCGGTTAATTGTGTTTGCAATCCACCGACAGCTCTTTTGAACATTGCGAAAGACTAAGATTTGACTATTCTCTTCGTAGGTGATACACTTGCCCCGAGGCATGTCTTCGAAGACACGTTGGTACTGACAAGGCCAAGGTGTCGTTCGATGTCCTTCTATACGTCCTATAGTCGAAATAGGGCTTCTATGCGATAAAAATGGACACTTTTACTCCAATTATGAATCGTGTCTATGATTTCTTTGCAGACCAAATTTTGACGATTGACCATTTCTCTTTACTGGAATGGCTTCATCCCAAATCACTTTGTACCCTGCCGATAAATAACGTGACTGCCTGGACTACGTATCGGCTTTAACCGCTCTCCTTACAGATACAGTGATGCCTCGATTTTTGCACGATGGGTGATTCATCAAGTATAAAAGGCATCAAATTCAAAGTATCCGACAAATATCAAATCTATAAGTTCTAGCTACGACATCAAAAAGCCCACAGGCATGGAAGAGCCGACAGGGAGCGTCTCAAGAGCAGCCATCAGCGACCTTTGAGGGAGGATGCCTGTATGCGTCCAGCAGTTTCTAATCGTTGATGGTGACACTTCATCACACGCCTCTGTTGCCAAACGCATCGCCTGCAGCACATCGCAGGCATAGGGATTCCTCCTTTGCTTGTCAGTCACGGCGCCACCTGTAGTAATGTTGTCGACAATTTGAATCGAATGGGTAAGTTGGCGTTTCTTGTAGTATGCTTTGAATGCGGCGATTATTCCGGTGTCCATGGGCTGCAGCGAGGAGGTGGTGTTGGGTGGCAGCATCAACACGCGAATGTTGTTGACGTCGGCCCGAACAACTTTGTGCGAGGAGTCATTGTCCAGGAGTAGTAGAATTGTTAGATTTTGTCTCTTCATGTCTTCATTCAGTTGCATGTTCCATTCATAGAAAAGCGAAATTGTCATCCATGACTTGCGATTACTTCGATAATATAGGCTCAACTCGCTCGCCGAGAGGCAACCAAAGCAACCAGGTTTCTTGGACTTACCGATAAAGAAAGGAGGTAGCTTGTGTGTTCCATGTTCCGTCAGCGTTGGATGTCAGGGCGACAGAGATTCTTCTCCTGTCTTTCTTCAGACCATATATGGGCTTATTGGAATTGATGTCTTCGGCTGAGCCTTGTAAATTATTCCCGTCTCGTCCATGTAGTAAATGCCGCTTGCATCATACAACTCTGCCTCGAGCAGCATTTCGTCGCGACCCGACTTGGCAACCAATGGGTCAAGCGAAGCACTTTCTCTGTGGAGACGATGTACCCACAGGTTGTGGCGCCTTTGGAATTGTTGTAGCAAACCGTGCGACGCTTTGAACTGGCTTATGCCGAGGCTTATGGCTAGGCGTAGCGCTTTTTGCTTGAGAATTGGGCCGGCTATTCATATATTGTTTGTGTTTGCAGCGTCCACCCACTTGGCCATTTGTTCGTTGAGCTCGGAATGTTTTGGTGGTTTTAAGTTTGATCAGCGGTGCATGGCCTTATTGTCGATGTTGCATGACTTCGCTTCCCTGGGATCCTTTAGGATGCGACCGACTGTACTGGAGTGGATCAAGCATCCAAATTGTTTATTGGCCCACGTGGCTTATTGGGGATATGTCACGGACCCTTGTGGCTGTCTATTGTACTGATTTCCCCCGACTTTTAAACGGGCCAAAGTGAAAAAAGCTTGAGAATCGATAATATTGAATGTCGAGGTGAAACTGAAAGTTCAAAAGGTTCAATGATGTTTGCATGCTGCCACATTCAAATCATGAAGCTGCGCATGACTTTGTTCGA